AAGTTTTTTTTTTTTTTTTTTTTTTTTTGAGACGGAGTCTTGCTCTATTGCCCAGGCTAGAGTGCAGTGGCTGGATCTCAGCTCACTGCAAGCTCCGCCTCCTGGGTTTACGCCATTCTCCTGGCTCAGCCTCCTGAGTAGCTGGGACTACAGGCGCCCGCCACGTGGCTAGTTTTTTGTATTTTTTTTTAGTAGAGACGGGGTTTCACCGTGTTAGCCAGGATGGTCTCTATCTCCTGACCTCGTGATCCACCTGTCTCGGCCTCCCAAAGTGCTGGGATTAAGGCTTGAGCCACCGCGCCCGGCCTGTTTTAAGTCTTTCACTTCTATGATCCTCTAGTAAAATGAATGTACGGTTTTAGGAAAATTACAAAAACCGGTTGGGGCAGTCCATCCTTGCTCTTTAGTGGTTCACAGAATGTTGGACCAACTATGGCATGAAACCTCTACATCGGGAGGCAACACCCTTGGTTGGCACTGGGGTCTTTATCGAAATCTCCCTGGATTAAATGATCCTAGTTTACTAATGCCTAGTCTAAGGAGACTCAGGAGGGACAGAAGAACTTTTCTGAAGTAGAAAGCTGTCTTTGACTTGGCAAGTCCCCACAGGGTATAACAAGGCAAGCATTAAATGCAACAGTTTGAGGCGAAATTGACTTGGTTATATTAATAACTAGATGGCCAGCAATAGAACGAGGAAAGAAGAAAGAGTAATATAATAGATTAAAAGAGTTAAATTTTTCTTAGCTTTAGTTTGGTAGGGTTTTCCCCTGGGACTATGGCCCATGACTCTGGAGGGGGTGGTGCTTTCTTGACTCGGGTGTGATGAGCCCATCCTTTTTTTGATGTACGAACAGCAGTCTTGGTGGTTAGCAGCACAAGGTAGGGTCCTTCCCAGGCTGGTTCGAGTTTTTCTTCTTTCCATCTTTCGATGAGAACGTGATCTTCAGGCTGGTGCTGGTTTACTGGAAATTCTAGGAGTGGTCCATGTGCTAAAAGACTTTTAGTTTGTTTGTTTGTTTTTCGAGAAAAGAAAGTGGAAGATAAGCCAAATATCTAATTTTTAAGAAATTGACCTTTTGTTTTAACTGTGGGGACCTTGGCAGTGAACTTTATAGTCCCTAGTGCCTTTTTACTGAGAAATTTCCTTTAGCACCTATTTTTATTAGTTTTTAAACCAAAGAAAGGCAAATACCATTTTACATTTAACAATGCTTCTTGTATGATTTTTATACCAGATAAGCTAAATGTTATCTTTATATTAGTGTGTTATTAATGTGAAACCTAATTTTAATAAAACCTTGTAGACATATTTATTTAATTTTTAATGTTTGACCATAGGTAAGATTTTATAGACCCTTTTTAACCTTTTATAATTTTTGCTAAAGAGCAAGTTGGTGCTTTAAGAAAAACCTGTTATGCTTTTACTTTAATGTCCAGTTCACAGAAAAACTGGATGATACTTCTTTAACTTTAGCTAATATGTTTACACACAGAATGTTCTTTGCAATTAACATTTTAAAACTTGCTTAAACCTTCAAAACAATAATTTTTTAAAACTTTTTAATGTAGGTAAAAATGTACATTCTTATGCCTCCTTAAAATCCTTTTACCAAAGGTATATTTTGCTTTTCTTATACACCTTGCACATAAACTGTTTTTTTTTTTTCCCAATAGTTTTACATTCAGGAGGCCTAGTTACTTTTAAATTATACAACATTTTTTCCATAAATCTTTTTATTAACACACATTTTTTCATAACCTTTTTTTTTCTTTTATGACTTTTACAGGCAATTTTTTGACATGCCTTAACTTTCTGATTTATTACAAATACTTCTTTTTTTAAACAACCAGTTAATTTATTTCAGGACAAGAATTTACCATATAACACTCTTTTTATATAAATTCCGCCCCCCCCTTTTTTCCCCTCTTTTTTTTTCTAAGATGATAACCATTCTTTTCCAAAGAGAACCTTTTTTTATGTCTGTGGACTAGACTGTCTAAGGCCACAAGAATAGAAGTTACTATAATACATGTTACACTGTTAACTTTTAGCAAACTTTACTTTTGTTGAAAACCTTGTAAGTTTGGGATTTTAATTATCTTTTGCTATTAATAAGACCTTATTTTGTCCAAATCAGAATTGGTATGATGGCTTTTAAAGGAATAGTGTACACTTTTTTATCTTTTTTAACTACTTGTATATCTCTTTCTTTCTCTCTTTGACTTTCTCTCTCTTTGATTTTCCTTCTGCCTCTGTCTCTTCTCTTTCTCTGCCTCTCTCTCTCTTTCTCTCTCTCTCTCTCCTTGACTCCCTCTTTGTCTGTCTCTTCCTCTCTCTCTCTTTGCTTCTTTTCCTCTCTCTTTCCTTTCTCTCTTTGCTGGTCTTTCCTTGCCTCTGCCAGCCGCTTATGCTGCTGTTCTGTCAACCACTGTGTGTTGGGGGCGGGGGGTCTAAAACCAGCTGTAACCAAGTGTCTATGTACAGGAACTGGTCTGGGTTCCCTGGCTTACATGTCACCTTGTGCTATACCTTTGAAACAAGGGACCTGTCCAGTCTTCCTTCTAATGGCCAACCTACGTCTAATGTTGGCCAGTCTATCTTACACAAAGTTTTAAGTTTTCCTGGTGTCATAGTACTCCATAGTCTCCCTTAAATACTTTTTTTGAAAAGTTCAAAAACATAGTTCCTAGTGGAGTGAGCTTACTTTGTGCCTCACCTATGTTTCCTCTAGACAAAACACCATGCTCACACCACATGCACACCACAAAACAAAGAACGGATAAAAAGGGCACACACACACTTTTTTTTTTTTTTTTTTTTTTTTTTTTTTTTTTTGAGACGGAGTCTTGCTCTGTAGCCCGGGCTGGAGTGCAGTGGCCAGATCTCAGCTCACTGCAAGCTCCGCCTCCCGGGTTTACGACATTCTCCTGCCTCAGCCTCCTGAGTAGCTGGGACTACAGGCGCCCGCCACCTCGCCCGGCAAGTTTTTTGTATTTTTAGTAGAGACGGGGTTTCACCGTGTTAGCCAGGATGGTCTCGATCTCCTGACCTCGTGATCCGCCCGTCTCGGCCTCCCAAAGTGCTGGGATTACAGGCTTGAGCCACCGCGCCCGGCCCACACACACTTTTGTAGTTTATGCAAAACCAAAATCAAAACCAAAATCAGAGTATCCAGAAATCCAAACCAGGTCAAAACCAAAACCAAAGTATCAAGCAATCCAAGTCAAAAACCAAAAACAAAAACCAAAGTGCCAGTACAGGCACACTGTGGGCGATCAGGCCACGCTTCCACTCAAATGGAGTAGGCAAGTTCCCAAGACCAATCCTGTCAAGCAATTCAAACCAAGTCAAAACCAAAACCAAAGTGCCGATAATGGCACGCCGTGGGCGATCAGGCCACGCTTCCACTCAAATGGAGTAGGCAAGTTCCCAAGACCGGTCCTATCAAGCAAATCAAACCAAATCAAAACCAAAACCAAAACCAAAGTGCCGATAAAGGCACACCATGGGTGATCAGGCCACGCTTCCACTCAAACAGAGTGGGCAAGTTTCAAAGACTAGTCTTACCAAGTTTTAGATGTCCAGATTCCAAGTGCCCGTTCCTTCCTGGTGTTCAGTCACTGCGTTGATCCTCCATGGGGGCCTGCCACACACTGCTCTGGCGAGGCATCCCACCGGGGCAAATGCCCACCCGGGAGTGCTCTCAGGATCCACATCGCTCGCTCGGGCTGGTCGGAGTCCCCTGCAGGGATGTTCCACAGGGCAGGCTCAAGCCACCTAAGGAGCTGCCTCGACCATCCGCCAATCACCTCGCTTCCCGGTCAGGGAACCAAGAAATGTAGCAGAATGAGCTACAGAAAAAACTCCTCAGACACCGAGTTAAAGAAGGAAGGGGTTAATTGGAATTAAAGAAGGAAGGGGTTTATTTGACTGGGGGCATTGGCAAGACTTCTGTCTCAAGAGCCCAGCTCCTCAAGTGAGCAATTCCTGTCCCTTTTAAGGGCTCACAACTCTAATGGGGTGCATGTGAGAGGGTCGTGATTGATTGAGCAAGCAGGGGGTACGTGACTGGGGGCTGTGTGCACCGGTAATTAGATCAGAACAAAACAAGATAGGGATTTTCACAGTGCATTTCTACACAATGTCTGTAATCTATAGATAACAGAACCAATAGGTCAGGGGTCGATCTTTAACTACCAGGTCCAGGGTGCGACGCCAGGCTGTCTGCCTGTGGATTTCATTTCTGCCTTTTAGTTTTTACTTCTTCTTTCTTTGGAGGCAGAAATTGGGCATAAGATGATATGAGGGGTGGTCTCCCTTACTCTCACACACACACACGCACACTCATACACACACATGCACACTCTCACACACACACACACTGGAGCAAGTGCTCCTCTCCTGAAGCTTCTGTCTGTCTTTCCAACAAGACTGGGAGGCCCTTAATCCCCTAATTCCTATTGGGCATCCCTGGGTGCCTGGTATGTGGCACGCTGTCAGTAGGAGGCTCTTCTAATAAGGTTTAACATTTACAGAGCTTTACTTTGGGCCAAGCTCAGTTCAAAACATCTTCACAACTCTGTGGGGTGGGTATTCTTTATTCATCTATTCTACTAATATTTATTGATTACTTCCCCCCGGCCAGGCCCTGGTCCAGGCACTGGGGATATGGCAGGGTAAAGACGATGGGCAGTGCTAGAGGTGGGGGAAAGAGTTCCTGTTTTATCTCAGAAGATCAGGAAAAGTGAAAATGGAGTAGAGACTTGAGGGAAGTGAGGAAAGGAGCTATGTGGAGATTTAGGGGAAGAGTGGTCCAGGCAGAGGGAACAGCCAGCTCAAAGGGGACTATTTGATGGTTTCTTCCTCCATTTGATGGAGTCCAGGTAAGTCATCCAGCATTATAGACTAAGTGGCAGAGCTAGGTTTCAAACCCAGGTTCTGTAACTCTTGACTCATACTGTTAACCATGCCTCTTTACCATGTTTTATGGGACACAGTAACTGCCTTAGCTGAGAGAAAGGCTGGTTTCATGTTCACCACCTCCCTCTCTGATTGGAGTTTGGTCTCCTGTGTCAAGGACAGCATGGCTGATTGCCTGCTTTGGTATCCAGCTTCACTTGTTGGCTCTGCTTTTCTACTTTGTGTACTCATTTCTGTGGTCTGTATTAGAGACAGTGAGATTGTGTGTACTCTTCAGGCAGCCTGAATAAAGCACGCTTTTCCTTCTGTTAAGCTGAGACCCAGACCCTGAAATAATGTGACTTGGCCAAGGCAAATTCCCTTTTACTAGTCAGCAACTAGGGTAGCCTCTGTTGGGCAACCTGTGGTTCTCACATCACACCTTCCTTCAAGCTTCCTTGAAGGAAACACCTTCAAGAGCTTCCTTCAAGCCACCTCTGGGGCTTTTTGCAAAGGTGATATTTGAGTTGGCCTTGAAGGACATGGAGCATTTCAAGAGGTGGAGATTGGGGAGGGATTTCTAGGCAGAAAGAAGTGTGTGAGTTGAGCAAAGGCATCAATGCTGGGCCACTCAGGGACCTGGAGAGTAGATGCCTGTGTGTTGGGGAAGCAAAGATAAGGCTGGACGGAGAATTTAGGTCATGTCATGGCAGCCTTTAAAAAAAATGGTTTTTGGCCAGGCGCGGTGGCTCGCACCTGTAATGCCAGCACTTTGGGAGGCCGAGGCGAGCAGATCACGAGGTCAAGAGATCGAGACCATCCTGGCCAGCATGGTGAAACCCTGTTTCTACTAAAAATACAAAAATTAGCTGGGCATATGGTGGCATGCGCCTGTAGCCCCAGCTACTTGGGAGGCTGAGACAGGAGAATCGCTTGAACCCAGGAGGTGGAGGTTGTGGTGAGCCAAGATTTCGTCACTGTGCTCCAGCCTGGGAAAAAGAGCGAGTCTCAAAAAAAAAAAAAAAAAAAGAAAAGAAAGACTGCTTGGGCAGTTGTGGGGAGCACAGGTTAGAGAGGGTAACTGGTGGAAGAGAGGCTATTGCAGGAGTCCAAGTATTAGATGGGAGCACCTGAGCACTGAGTGGAAGGACCAGATTCCAGAGACATTTTGGAAGTATTGATGACAGGTCCTGCTTACAGGTTGATGTGGAAACTGTAGGAGCAGGAGGAGTTGAGAAAGAATGATGTCAGCATTTTCAGCTTGGGTGACTCAGCAGATCATTGTTAACTGACAAACAATACACAAGAGAAGGGACAGGGACAGGATTTGAGCATCTTGAGTTCGAGGTAACGGGTGTGACATCCAGGTGGGGATGTGGGCTGGGAGTTTGGGGTGGAGGGTAGAGCTGGAGAAATGTCAAAGCTGAGGCTGAAGGAATAGAGGAGGTGTATGAGCAGACAGGGACTTGGCTTATCTAGAGGGAGGCAATGAAGGAGCTGTGGAGGAGCAGTTGGGAAGGCTAAAGTAAGTGAGGACTGTTGTTGTTGTTGTTGTTTTTATTGTTGTTTTTTGAGACAGAGTCTTGCTCTGTCACCCAGGCTGGAGTGCAGTGGCACAATCTCGGCTCACTGCAACCTCTGCCTCCCGGGTTCAAGCAATTCTCCCATCTCAGCCTCGTGAGTAGCTGGAATTACAGGCACCTGCCACCAGGCCCAGCTAATTTTTGTATTTTTAGTAGAGACAAGGTTTCGCCATGATGGCCAGGCTGGTGTCGAACTCCTGACCTTGTGATCCGCCTGCCTCAGCCTCCCAAAGTGCTGGAATTACAGGTGTGAGCCACCACACTTGACTGGCCATGCTGGTCTGGAACTCCTGACCTCAGATGATCTGCCCACCTCAGCCTCCCAAAGTGCTGGGATTATAGGCGTGAGCCACCACGCCCGGCCACAAAGACTGTTTTGATGAAGGCATTGCTGGGATTGTTTGACAGGGCTCAGCATCTGATGTCCCCACATCTCATGGGGACAGCAGAGTTGACCTCCCCTGGATTATCTGCTCAGAAACTAGGGGCGCTTCTGCTCAGCCTGCGCTTCTTTCCGTGGCCTTTGTGTGTGCTGTCTTCTTCCTCTGCACATGACCAGCTTCCCTCTGCTGAGGGGAAACTCCTGAAAGTGGAGATCCTGACTTCTCCCTCATTATTCTCCAGGAAGCTCAGCCCAGGGCTGTGCACTGTGAGGCACAGAACACTAGCAAGGGGATTGAATGACTGAACAGAATGGTGGCAGTGGTGATCGTTGTCCCCTGCTTTGCTTGGACTTTGAGGCCACCCTTTTATGGAGAATGTCTTGTTTGAAGGAATGGGCATAATTTGCTCTCTGAATCTTGAGTTGCTTCAAGCTTACACCATCTGCCTGGGCGACAGAGCAAGACTCTGTCCATCCATCCACCATGTATCAGATTTTTGCCAATGTAAATATCTACTAAAAGTTAAGCATGCATGCATCAGTACTGCACTCCTTTTTATGACTAAATGATATTCCACTGTATGCATATGCCATATTATATTCATTTATTCATATGTCCACAAATGTTGGTTTTGGTTTTTTTTTTGAGACGGAGTCTCGCTCTGTTGCCCAGGTTGGAGTGCAGTGGCGCGATCTCAACTCACTGCAACCTCTGCCTCTCGAGTTCAAGCTATTCTCCTGCCTCAGCCTCCCAAGCAGCTGGGACTACAGGTGCATGCCACCACGATCAGCTAATTTTTGTATTTTGAGTAGAAATCGGGTTTCACCGTGTTGGCCAGGCTGGTCTCGAACTCCTGACCTCGTGATCCACCCGCCTCAGCCTCCCAAAGTGCTGGGACTACAGGCGTGAGCCACCGCACCTGGCCTGATTTTTTTTTTTTTTTTCGAGACGGAGTCTCGCTCTGTCACCTAGGCTGGAGTGCAGTGGCACAATCTCGGCTCACTGCAACCTCCGACTCCCTGGTTCAAGCGATTCTCCTGCCTCAGCCTCCCTCCCGAGTAGCTGGGATTACAGGCACACGCCACCATGCCCAGCTAATTTTTTGTATTTTTAATAGAGACAGGGTTTCACCATGTTGGCCAGGATGGTCTCGATCTCCTGACCTTGTGATCTGCCCACCTCAGCCTCCTAAAGTGCTGGGATTACAGGCATGAACCACCGCGCCTGACCTGGGTTGTTTCCATTTTTGGCCATTATGAATAATGATCTTCTGACATTTGTTTGTTTGGTTTTGTTTTGCTTTTTGTTTTTTCTTGAGATGGAGTTTTGCTCTTGTTGCCCAGGCTGGAGTGCAATGAGCGATCTCAAGCTCACTGCAACCTCCACCTCCCGGGTTCAGTCCATTCTCTTGCCTCAGCCTCCTGAATAGCTGGAATTGATTACAGGTATGCATCACCACGCCTGGCTAATTTTGTGTTTTTAGTAGAGATGGGGTTTTTCCATGTTGGTCAAGCTGGTCTTGAACTCCTGACCTCAGGTGATTCACCGGCCATGCCTCCCAAAATGCTGGGATTACAGGCGTGAGCCACCACGCCTGGCCAATCCTCTGACATTTGTATAAAAGTTTTTGTGCGGGTTGGGCACGGTGGCTCACGCCTGTAATCCTAGCACTTTGGGAGGCCGAGGTGGGTGGATCATGAGGTCAGGAGATTGAGACCATCCTGGCTAACACGGTGAAACCCAGTCTTTACTAAAAAAAAATACAAAAAAATTAGAAAAGTTAAGCATGCATGCATCAGTACTGCACTCCTGTTTATGGCTAAATGATATTCCACTGTATGCATATGCCATATTATGTTCATTTATTCATATGTACACAAATGTTGGGTTGTTTCCATTTTTTTTTTTTTTTTTGAGATGGAGTCTCGTTCTGTTGCTTGGCGTGGTGGTGGGTGCCTGTAGTCCCAGCTACTCGGGAGGCTGAGGCAGGAGAATGGCATGAACCCACGAGGTGGAGCTTGCAGTGAGCCGAGATCACGCCACTGCACTCCAGCCTGGGCGACAGAGCAAGATTCCGCCTCAAAAAAAAAAAAAAAGTTTTTGTGTGGATGTATGTTTTTATTTTTCATGGTGTATACCTAGAAGTGGAATTGCTAGGTTAGGTGGTAACTCTGTTGAACATTTTGAGGAACTGCAGAACTGTTTTCTGAAGTAGCAATACCATTTTATATTTTTACCAGCAGTGTGTGAATGTTCTAGTTTCTCCACATCATGACCAACACTTGTTTCTGGACTGAGACGCTTCTGAGAGTGAAAGGGTGCGCCATTAATAAATATGCCAACACGACTGACATTAACTGGAACATATTCTTACCCTACCTAGATACCAAACAATTAGAAGATTCAATTCCTGATTTCAGGGAACTTTCTGGCCACATGATGAGTCAAAGCCCCAAACCCACATACTTGAGTCAATTAAAGAATCAAGTAAAGGTAAATTATTAAGAAGGAAAACAAAGTACATCTAAATTCCCCCAGGAGATTGTATTCTCTTTAAGAGAAAAGAACTGTTTTATTTGTCTTTGTATTGTTTGTGGCCCCGGGTATACCTTGTGTTTGACAGGGTCTCAATAAAGGTCTGTGGACTAAGTGAATAGATGATACAAATTCTACTGTACAGAATAGAATGACTCACCTAGCAGGGGTTTTTGAGTTTGGGGGAAGTATGGCTCTTTGCTAAAAATGTAAATATATATTTTTTGCTCCATGCTGTAACAACACTAATGACAATTTAAAAATGAAAAAGTAGGCTGGGCCCGGTGGCCCACGCCTGTAATCCCAGCCCTTTGGGAGGCCAAGGCGGGCGGATCACTTGGAGTCAGGAGTTCGAGACCAGCCTGGCCAACATGGTGAAAACTCGTCTCTACTAAAAATACTTAAATTAGCTGGGCATGGTGGCGTGCAACTATAGTCCCAGCTACTGAGGAGACTGAGGCAGGGAATCACTTGAACCGGGAGGTGGAGGTTGCAGTGAGCTGAGATTGCACCACTGGTCTGTCTGCCTGGGCAACAGAGAAAAGATTCTCTCTCAATAATAATAATAATAATAATAATAATAATAATAATAAAAAATAAAGATAAAGTAAGGTAAAGATTGGTGGCTCATACCTGTAATCCCAGCACTTTGGAAAGCCGAGGCAGGAGGATTGCTTGAGGCCAGGAGTTCGAGACCAGTTTGGACAATATAGACCCCATCTCTGCAAAAAAAAATTTTAAAAAACAAAAATAAATAAAATGGAAGCAAATAACCTACAGTGAGAGGAATCTGGAACTGTGAATGGCTGACAATAGGCTGGGGAAAGACTATCCAAAGAGGGGAATTGCCTGAGCAGGGGGGCAGGAATCAAAGCACACATCTTCATGCAGGGTACCTCTTCCAGCAGGTTAACCCTTGGAACTACAAAGATGTGGTGTCTTCCCCCAGGAACCTCCATCCTTTTGGGAGAAAACAGGATTTATTCACAGGAAACAAGGAGAATAGTTTAGAACAACCATTAAGTGGAGTATGCCCTTAAGCGTCATTGATCCTTCTGGCCCTAAATTTCTGTGATCTCTCAATTCCATACCCTTGTAGCTTCATGGAAGAGATGGGCCAGGAGCTAGGCCTTAAGGGAAGAGGCTGGATTTGGAGAAAAGAGCAGGATGCCAGTGGTGGGTGATAAGGCCCAGAGGTGGGCTGGAGTGCTAGGGCTGAGATAAAATTGGATAGGGCAGCTGGGGCCTCTTCTTGAAGGTGAAATTTGAAAGCCAGGCTGGTTGTCTTTTAAATTTAACCGATAAGCAGGTCCTTGGACTTAAGATGAAAGGAGTGTCTGTGAGAGATTAATCTGATGGCCTTGGGCCATTGATCTGGATCTATCTGGAAGCAGTGTGAAGATGAGGCTCTCTGGGAGGCTTTTGCAACAGTAATATAGGCCCAGCCTTTCAAAGGAGGGTTTGAAAACCCCTAGGAAAACTCCTTCTGCCAGTTGTTTGTGTGGAGTTAACTTTTCCTTAACCATAGTGACTTAAACCATTGTTTTTATATTACAACTATTAGGGCTATATTATGGGCCAGAATCCAAGATGTATATAGGTTTCTAAGGCAGAATATTTAGACTTCAAATAAATTTCAGTTTTGCAGAGGGCAATCAGATTTAGGTCATGCTATCAGATTCCTCAGAGAAATCCATTCTTCTTTGCTGTAAAGGGTTTAAAATCTGAGGACTAAAGAAAGATGGTGCCGGGCCAGGCGCGGTGGCTCACGCCTGTAATCCCAGCACTTTGGGAGACCAAGGCGGGCGGATCACGAGGTCAGGAGATTGAGACCATCCTGGCTAACACGGTGAAACCCCATCTCTACTAAAAATACAAAAAATTAGCTGGGCGTGGTGGTGGGCACCTGTGGTCCCAGCTACTCAGGAGGCTGAGGCAGGAGAATCGCTTGAACCCAGGAGGCGGAGCTTGCAGTGAGCCAAGATCACGCCACTGCGCTCCAGCCTGGGCGACAGAGCGAGACTCTGTCTCAAAAAAAAAAAAAAAAAAAGAAAGATGGTGCCATACATAAACATGTGTCAGTTGCGAACTGGGTGGGAATATGATGGTACCTTTAGAACGTTGAGGATCGGCCTTGCTTAGTACCAGGAAAATTCTGGCCACGTTGGTAATAGAGGAGGAGCCAGCACCTCATGGTCTTTCCCAGACCTTTCTAAAGGCCCTAGTTCTGCCCAATGAACTGGCATGTTTGGCACTTGCCTGGTTTACATTTATTTATTTTAATTTTTTTTTTTTTTTTTTTTTTTTTGAGATGCAGTCTTGCTCTGTCGCCCAGGCTGGAGTGCAGTGGCACAATCTCAGCTCACTGCAGCCTCTGCCTCCTGGGTTCAAGTGATTCTCTTGCCTCAGCTTCCCAAGTAGCTAGGATTACAGGTGCCCGCCACCACGCCCAGCTACTTTTTGTATTTTTAGTAGAGATGGGGTTTCATCATGTTGGCCAGGCTGGTCTATAACTCCTGACCTCGGGTGATCCACCTGCCTTGGCCTCCCAAAGTGCTGGGATTACAGGCCACTGTGCCCAGCCCTACATTTAAAAAAAAAAAAAAAAATATATATATATTTATATATATAATTTTTATTCGATCACCTTTCTCAAGTTGAATTTTTTATTTTCTTTTGAGATAGGGCCTCGCTCTGTTGCCCAAGTGCAATCACAGCTCACTGCAGCCTTGACCTCCTAGGCATAAGCAATCTTCCTGCCCCAGCCTCCCATGTAGCTGGGACTATAGGCATGTGCCACCACACTTGGCTAATTTTTAATTTTAATTTTAATTTTTTTATAGAGACAGCATCTCACTTTGTTGCCCAGGCTAGTTTTAAACTCTTGGCCTCAAGCAATCCTCCTGCCTCCTTAGCCTCCCAAAGTGCTGGGATTACAGTTTGGCTTTTTTTTTTTTTTTTTTTTTGTAGAGATAGGGTCACCATTCTGGCTTGCCTGGTTTACTTTTAATGTGTCACCACTAAGATGTTTGCTGTGGGGTTTCAGTAGCACCCTATGTAAGACTAGGTAAGTTCCCATTTATCCCTGCTTTGTCAAGAGTTTTTTCTTATGAATGGATGTTGACTTTCATCAAACACTTTTTAGGTATCTGTTGATGTAGTCATGTGATTTTCCCTCTTTAATCTGTTAGTGTGATCAATTATATTGATTTTTTTCAAAATAATAAATATAACCATGCAGTTTGGTATACAGTCAACTTAATCACAACATATTACCCTTTTTACTTATTGGCTGGAATCAGTTTGCTAATATTTTGCTTAGGATTTTGCATCCATGTTCATAAGTGTAATTTTTTTCACATATTGTTCTTGTTGGGTTTTGGAATCATTACATTAAAAATGATTTGAAGTGAACGTCTCTTTATATTCTCTGAAAGCGTTTGTGTAAGATTGAAATTACTTCTTTCTTGAATGTTTGAGAGAACTCTGCCTGTTTGCTATTGAAGGTTGCCCCATCAGGTGGGTGTTAGTAGAGAAAGTAGAGACAGTAAAGATATTTAACTTGAGGGGTAAACATAGCTTAAACAATAAGGAAAATTTTATATATTTCATACATCACAAAAAGTCCAGAGGTAGGTGGTTCAGGATTGGTTAATTCAGCAGCTCAACATCATCAGGGAGGGAAATTCATTCCAGTCATTCTCAGGTGGCAGCTCCTTCTTTCATTATTGCAAGATAGCTGCAGCTGCTCCAGGCATCGCAGCACAGTGGTTAAGCGTGTTGATTTTACATGCCAAACTTGGTTCCAAAGCCCATCACTGTAGGACAATTGAGTAAATTGCTTAATCTCTCTGTAAAATGTAAAATACTTTAATTCAGAAGTTTACTATTATATGGATTAAATTAATGAGGCTAGGCACAATGGCTCACGTCTGTAATCCTAGCACTTTGGCAGGTGGAAGCAGAAGGATCACTGGAGGCCAGGACTTCAAGACCAGCCTAGGCAACAGGGTGAAGCCCCCTCCATCTCTAAACAATAACAACAAAAAATTTTTATTTTATTTATTTATTTTTTTGAGACGGAGTCTTGCTCTGTCACCCAGGCTGAAGTGCAATGGTGCTATTCTCCGCTCACCGCAACCTCCGCCTCCAGGGTTCAAGTAATTCTCCTGCTTCAGCCTTCTGAGTAGCTGCGATTACAGGCGCATGCCACAATACCTGGCTAATTTTTTGTATTTTTAGTAGAGATGGGGTTTCACCATGTTGGCCAGGCTGGTTTGAACTCCTGACCTCGTGATTCGCCTGCCTCAGCCTCTCAAAGTGCTGGGATTACAGGCATGAGCCACTGCACCTGGCTTTTTTTTTTTCTTTTAAGGCAGAATCTTGCTCTGTACCCCAGGCTGGAGTGCAGTGGCGCAATCTCAGCTTACCTCCACTTTCCAGGTTCAAGTGATTCTCCTGCCTCAGCCTCTGGAGTAGCTGGGATTATAGGTGCACACCACCACACCGGTCTAATTTTTGTATTTTTAGTAGAGATGGGGTTTTGCCATGTTGGTCAGGCTGGTCTCGAACTCCTGGCCTCAAGTGATCCACCAGCCTCGGCCTCCCAAAGTGCTGGGATTAAAGGCGTGAGCCACTGCTCCCAGCCAACAAACATTTTTTTTAAATGAGGTTTTTTTTTTTTTTTTTTTTCCCAAACTCTTAAAATAGTGCCTGGCACATAGTAAGTATTCAAAAATATGAGCATGTCTTCCTCCATTCTCACACAGAGCAGGAAAGAAGCTGTGTTCCTCCGGTGCCCCACTGATGGAAGTCCTTTAGCAGACTCACCTCCACACTTAATTGGTCAGATTTACAGCAAGTGCCCATTCCTAAACCACTTGTGGAATTACTGTGATTTGGTTTGGAGTAACTTGGATTCAACCTCCAAGACCAGGGAGTCCCTGACCTCCCCTGAAACACACCACCTGATAGCTCAACAAAACCTGGGTTCTGTTCACAACAGAGAGGCTGGAGTGGTGAAGGTGGGAGGGGTCTGTTGGGTCACACAAGGAAGGGCAAAATGGGAGTCCCCATTCTTACTGGTTCTCCATGAGATTCCTTGGGCACTCAAAACCCTTGGATTTACCTACCACTGCACAGTTTACTTAGTGCTTTTTAACTCATGCATTATCTCATCCAGTCCTAGAGCCACCCTCTAAGCAGTCTTGTTATCCCCCTTTGACAGGCTTTGACACACTTGCCCAGTTGTGTATATATAGTTGGGACAGAGCCAGGTCCTGGGACTCAAGTCGAAGTCTTCAGACTCAATGTTTTGCATTTTTTTTTTTTTTTTTTTTTTTGAGGTGGAGTCTCACTCTGTCACCCAGGCTGGAGTGTAGAGGTGCCATCTCGGCTCATTGCAACCTCTGCCTCCTAGGTTCAAGCAATTTTCCTGCCTCAGCCTCCCAAGTAGCTGGGATTACAGGCACACACCATCACACCTGGCGAATTTTTGTATTTTTAGTAGAAACGGGGTTTCACCATGTCAGCCAGCCTGGTCTTGAACTCCTGACCTCAGGTGATTCGCCTGGCTCGGCCTCTCAAAGTGCTGGGATTACAGGCGTGAGCCACCACACCCGGCCTATTTTGCACTTTCATTTGTCTTCCATCAATTCCCAATGCCTGTCATTGGCCACCCTC